GTCCTTTTCCCTTAGAGCAGCTGATGGATTTGAACTGCCAGAGAAGATGCTGCCACTTTTAGACTAGCGACACACCTCTCTATCCACTCTGTGACTAGAACTCCTTTAAATAAATGAATAAGAAGTATCTCCCAAATAGTTTAAAGGGGGTTTGTTTTTTTCTTCTAAATTTCTCTTACTATATAATGAATACACATGTTTTCCTCATCCCCAAACTTTACAAGAGAGTAAAAGGTAAGCAGAGTTTTAATATTAAAAATGATTGCTACAGAAAGGATAAGCACCAGAGTTTTCATTTCAACCCAAACTCTCCCTTCATACTTAGTCCATATTTGAATAAGAAACAAGGCATTAAGGTGTAAGTCAAGAAAAGTTGACAATGTAAACCTCTCTTTTTATAAATACTTGCCCTGATCCAAAGAGAATCAGCTTATTTTCTGTTTGTTCTTATCATTTTGTGCTGTAGAGTCAGAACCAACTCATAGTTGACCCTGCAGCAGCTTTTCAGAGGCTATAAATTTCATGGGAAGAGATAACTCATCTTTCTTCCACAGAGCATCTGGAGGATTAAAACCTCTTGTCTTAGGATTTGGAAGCATAACTCCTTTAACAATAGGACTCCAGTACTCCCTTGCTACTATTTAGAAATGAACTAAACATGTAAGAGAAGTGTGCATTTCATTAGCCTACATCACATCTTTCTCCTAGTCTTAGCTAAATTGGAAAGAGGGCAGGCAAGGATGGAGAATGTAGTTAAAGAAGCATCATATAGAGTTTTTGGTATTTGAACTACATCTGGGAAATAGTCCATCAATTCTGTCCACTCATTAACATCCCATATAAAAATCTGAACTCAGACTTCTAAATCCTCGAAATAAATGAATAAGTATCACTTAGCTTCACATTCTCTTCCTTTTTTTTTTATTTGAGATTTTAATGAACGTTTATAGAGAACTTGAATTTCCATTCATTCATTGTTGCACATTTTCCTCCCTGCCTACCCCATCCACAGTTTGCTTTTCTCTTTGGACAAAAATTTCTTTCCTCCCAACCCTTGCCAGTCCACTTTACTATGCAGCTCTTAATCTGGACTCTTGTCATGCAAATAATACCTAATCATATATTTGTTTCATTGATATCACATGCAAGCAAGATTCTGCTGAAAATTATCCAAAAACGTTTGGAGCAATATGTCAACAGAGAACTGCACAGAACTGTGCAGGCTGGATTTAGAAGAGGTCATGGTACTAGGGATATTATAGGTAATGTTAGATGGATCTTGACAGAAAGCAAAGAATACCAGAAGAAAGTCTTTCTGTGCTTCATGGACTATGCAAAGGCTTTTGACTGTGTGGATCACAACAAGCTGTAGCTGACTCTGAGAAGAATGGGAATCCCAGAACATTTGATTGTGCTAATGCAAAACCTATACTTGGACCAAGAGGCAGTCGTCAGAACAGAGCAAGGAGACACTACAATGGTTCAAAATCAAGAAGGGAGTCTGACAGGG